GTGCTCCATCTTCCGGGGGTATCTTCACAGTACCGTCTTCGTCTCCAAGCCTTTACTTCTGTTTGACCGTGTCCTGTCCTTTACTTACGTGATGGCGTAGGACTTTGTAGGCCGCAGGGAGGTCCAAATACCTACTGAGAGAGTTGGCGTCTGAGTACCATGCCTCAAGCGCCAATCTTTGAGCTTTTGAGGCTCCTCGGCCTACAATGGTCTTTCCTTGAATATCGAAGTCGTGGCTAGTCTCTCCGATATGTTTTTCAAGCTGTGAGTTAGGGTCTAGTCTCAGGGCCACCACTTTGTGTTCCTGTAGGCGGGTCGACAATATGCGCCCTGTTTCTCCAACCTAATTACAGTCTCCATCGTTGCAAAGTATTTTGCAGACAAATGCGGAGGTTTCAGTAGGGGGCAGTCTGTCTTTAGTTTGCATCACTCGGCGGCGTATTGTCGCCTGAGGTCGATAGGCTATGCCTACTCCAGCGGATTGCAATGGTTCCCTTTAAATGTGGTCTTTATGCCAGTCACACGCAATTGAAATCCGAGCCAGGTGTGACGGCAGGCTTAGTGGGCGGCTTCGGCCGCGCTGGCCACCTGATCCCGATTCCAATCTTCTTGACGCTGACTCGACAGCGGGCACAAGTGGTTGACGGGAGAGCGATAGTGCGGTAGATACATGCAAAGTCTATTAGAACTTAAATTTAATCCACGCGCCTTTTCCTTTAGCTTGCTGGAGCACGCGTTGGACATCGTCGAACTCTTGTGTGTGCCTATCTGAAACTCTTAATCCATCAGAACTTCAGAAATGTGCATATGTATTGTTACGCGACTATAGTTTTGCGTTAATTTCGTCTTAACTTTTAGATCCGCCCAAAGTAACACAGTTTCAACGGAAAGTAATGAAGTTTGGTGATAACTTCAACGCCACCTGCGTTGTCCAGGGAAATCCTTTGCCGGAAGTTGCTTGGTTCAAGGGTGCTTACCCAATATCCACGGTAACGGATGATGCAAATGTGCGCGTTCAAATTGTTACGTGAGTAAAAATATGTGCTTTGACGAATATCTTGCACAAAATCCATTTGACGTTAAGTTACTGTTTGAAAACTGAAGGCGCTATTTACTGTTGTCTGTGCGCATAATGATAGTAAGCATAAAATTATTGGTGAAAGCAACCTACGCCAGATTCCTGCTCGGTTATCTTGACTTTTGTCTTGCCACCGGTTCAAGCGGGGAGAGGGTTTAGAGTGAAGTAGACAGCTGCGCGTCTATTTCACTTAAATTTTGTCTCTGTCTCCAGTCGCCGTCCCTGCTCCTGAGCACATGGTGGTAGGTAACCAAATGTACCGTGAGATGACGAAACCATCTAGGACTGGTTGTTAAAATACCGCATGTTACGGGGGCGGGAAGCAAAATTGGCCCGCGGTCTAAGACTAAAAGAGCACGTGCCAACAGGCGCCGCAATAGGTCAACCCAACTGGTTAACAGGCGTGGGCTACCAGATAACCAATCAGTGCGCGCGTTTGCTTCAAGCCAGCTTGGCGCCTCCTGCTCACGCGTGCAGTCCAAAGATTCCAGAAATTTCGCGAGATCATTATAGCGTTGAAAACAACCAATCAGCGTGTTGCACGTCGTTGACCAGAATGCTCCAGAAGGCTCAGCACAGGTCATTGGTAGGAATGTCCGAGAACGGCCAGAACCCCGTAAATAAGCAAAGACTATCGGCGTCTCAATCTGTCGACCGAGTTTTCAAGCGCTGCTCGCACAAACAAAAGAGCTATTTGAGAGCCGTTCTCAGCACAGGCAAGGCAAGATGCACTGTTTTTCCCGTGTAAGCCAGAAGATAGATGTTGGTGTATATTCGGTGCTATTTATAGAACATACCTAAGAATGAAAATGCAAAAACCTCAACGATGAATACACTGGCAGGAGACTTCCTTGACCAGTATTCGAGCAAATTTTATTTCGACCTCAAGGCCAAAATCAGTTAATTAAAAGATCTTAGTTCGCGCCTGAAAGAGGGGTACCAAAATACCAACGGGGAAAACCTGCGGAAGCACTCGGGAAGGGGGCCTAGAGAATTTTGAACGTTAGTCGGATGGATATCACGCGTACATTTCCATTCCCCTGGCGAGGGGCTATCACGAGCGTTCGAAACGTCGAATGGATAGACAGATTGTCGTAAGAATCGCCTACCCTACTTCCTCTTTTATTGCTTTTGTCTGTGTCTTATGCAACTGGTGTCATTCAGAGCATATGTATGTGCATTGTGTTGGTTGTTTGTCGATAATGTTACCGAAATCACTCGTTCAATCCCGCCTTTGAGCTGACTTTAGGTCTTCACAGGCAGTCGCCTAACAATCAACAACTGACTACACAACGGACCCGTTACTCAAGGACAGAATGGCGACCAAAAAATCTGGATTTGAATCCGATGTTAGTTAAGCCTGTGATTAGGTTGTCGAATGGTGGTGACGACAGAAGTCAGGAAAACCTGATAGGGTTGGACAGCGTTCACTTCGTGAAAAGGCTTAGCAAGGGCAAGTGTTACTCGTATATCCATCAGGCTAGTTTTTGTTGTGTGTTCCCGTGGAATCAGAGGACACCGGGCATGTACTCTGTCGCCTGCAGCCAATCAGTGACATGGTGCACACTGGCGTCGAACCGACGGGGTGTAATGTGTACAAGAGAACATCGTGAGCGGTGCCGCAGCGGATCGACCAGGGTATAGAGGAAGAGACTGTCATGCGCGAGTAGGCAGCGCTTGACAGGCGAAGTCAAGAAGGGACCAGCGCAACGACGCTGGCCACGGGCTGCCACGGGGTACAACTGGCTAATGATAGCTAACAAGTCAGAAAGAGCTACCTCAATCTCCCTCGTCACTAAGTCTCAATGTTAAGCAGACTCCAGTATCGTCCAGGATAATAGCAACCAATCACAAACAGACGCTTACACATCTAGTCTAAACCTCTTTACTTGCCCAAAGTACTCTAAATCAAGAACCAACTCTTTAGGGTAAAGTATGTATTCAAAGACTTTATATTGCCCTTTTCTTCTTTAGCGTTGACAAGACAACCCGTCATGCTATTCTAGAGATTACTGGACTCTTAATTCTGGACAATGGTGATTACTCATGCCGGGCAAGTAACACCCTCGGTACCGCCTCTTCCACTCTCCAGCTAAGAGGTTTGTATTCATTCGAAACTTTTACTTTTCTTTTATTTGAAGAATAACCAGAGTCATTTCGAAACGTGTGCGAACATTTAACTTTTTCCATAATCTAATAAAAACTGGCATTAAAAGCCATTTTTTTGTGTTAGAAAGCTTTTGAAGTTTGATCTAACCGAGTGTGTTAGAAGCTGGTCTTTCACCAGCCTTAATGTGTGACAAGCAAATAAGTCTCCTTAGACCGTTATTTCTGTATGACATCAAGATGTCGATGGTAACAGCTGCAAGTCAAGTAGGAGCCAGAAGTGGTGGGTTAGTTTTTGCCATTTTATACCGCCGAATAAAGGAGCAACTCTACCCGACTGTAATTTTACAGGGGATTTGAGACCCAAGTTTCCATCCAGGTTTTAGCTTTTGATTCGTTTGAGTCTCCTTATGGATCTTTACCGACGTCGCCAAAATGTGAATAAGACATTATCAGTTAAGTACTACCTGCCCAAATTTCACCACAGGTGCATAACCTGTGGGGTGAGAACTGACGCCGTTCTGAGGGACTCGCAGCTGGACCAGTTCGTTTTTTACACTGTGTTGCGCCCATGTCAGTCCAATTGATAAAAACCTGTGATGGCCACTTTATAAGTGTGGGAGTAATGGTTTACATTTCCAGTGGCAAAAAAACTCCAAAGTCTATCAGAGAGACTACATTGAATAGGATTCATCATATGTGTAAGCATATACGTTCGTAGAAATTGGAGGTCTGATCCTAAAAAGCCATGTTCCGGTCACTTAACTCCAAGTCATGCACTTAATACTTTCCAAAATTATTTCCCCGATGTATTTATCTTTTTCATCTTCCCCGTCAATATACATGTATGCGTATTACCAGTCGCTACGCGGCTGTCTGCGAGGTCTCTAGATTGAGCACAACGGAACGCGTTTGTCCCGCTGCTTATTTGAGAGCGTTACTTCATCGCAATGTTTAGTTCGGAAGCCTATTCGATCGGTGTTCGCACATTTCTGAGTAAATATATATATATATATATAGATATATATATATATATATGACAATGATATTATACCGTACTTCCGCATAGAT